ATTTCTATTTATAAATTGATTTTCTTGTCGACTGCGATATATTTTTCTCCATTTCCTCTTATCAAAGATTGAATAAAAATATATTAAGAGACCAATGACAACTATACTTGCAAATATTATTAAACCAATTGGAAGTGCTCCAAGACTCATACCAGGAAGTTCGTCTTCATTATCATCATCATCATTGGATTCTTGATTTTGGGTTTGAGAATCGCTTGAAGGAGATGGTGAGGAGGTGGTGGTGGCGTCAGTAGAGGTCGGAATGGTGGTGGACACATCAGGTGAAGGAGAAGTTGTTGGTGTTGGTGTGGGTGTGGGTGTGGGTGTTGATGTTGGTGTTGATTTTGGTGTTGATGATGATGATTTTGATGTTGATGCAGAAGATGGCTTTGAAGTTGTTGTTTTTGCAGTAGGAACAGAAAATGTGTTTGTAAGCTCAGAAGATACTTCAGAATCAGAATAATTTGGTTCAAGTTCACTCATTAAAAAGTTAGGGATCGATAAGATTTTAGCATCATTATCTTTGACGAGAGAAAAAATATTTTTTCCAACATCGACCATATATTGCGAAGGACTAGTCATGTTAGTCATGTCAACATTACCCATCGATTTATAATTTGGAATTTTACTATAAATATAAATATTTTCAATTGAACTAGAATTGTCTAATTTTTCTTGATTCTTCCATTGAGAAGTTTTTATAGTTTTGACTAAATAAGGCATTTTATACATTAATTTATTAAATGTAGAATTTTTTAATGTGTTCAATTTTTTATCTCTAAAAATAATGAATTCACCAACAAAATCTCCTCGAGTTTTATCTAACCAAGAAATTTGGTAACATAAAGATACTCCAGCAGGATTCTTAATCTTCCAATTTACAGATTCACATCGACATTTTGCAAAACTTGCCCATTTCGACCAAATATCGTGCAAAATATCGATTTTAATATCTTTATTTTTAGATTTATTTTTATATGACTTTTCTCGTTCTTCCAATTTTCCCCAATCACTGAGATACATATTTTTTATCTTTTTTTCACATAAACGAGTTGATCTTTTATATTTTTTGCAATAAGATTTTGTCCATTTTAGATATTCACTTCTGTTTTTCCACCAGAGCGAATCACATTTTTTGAGATCATTATCATTTTTTGGTTTATCGGATGCAATAACGAAGGGCGAGAAGAGCACACACAGTGTGACAATTATTAAAAATGTTGAAAATATGAAGCGTGTCATTTTAGAAGTGATGAATACATGTACCAGCATGAATGATTATTATTATTTTAAATTGATTCTATTATTTATAAATTTTCGATAGAGGATAATATAAAAAAAAATTAATGAGTAAAGGAAAGGAAATAAAAGAATGTGATATAAATTATGATATAAAAAATGTAATAATATTAGAAATAAAATAAGAAATGTAAAGAATGTAAGAAATAAAATTATTTTTTTAACTTAAGGGATGTGTTTTATATATCGATCCAAAAATGAAAAGAATACGAAAAATAATCTAAATTTATTATATTATCGATCTTTAAACTCATTTTTGGAATATGCACCAGTAACTGGCCGAAACAATAAATCAGACAATCGGTAATTTTTATTCCGCTGCAGGTATTATTATTTTATTTTTTTGAGTGAAAAATATTTGAAACGATTCGATGATCATACGATCAATAAACAAAGCTTTCGATTTTCATTTTAAAAGAAAAACTCATTCCGAATCTAAAATTATTAATATATTAAAGGAATTTAGAGTTATCTGATAAATATTTGTACTCAATTGTCTTCTCTTTTCTAAACTCCAAATTGACAAAGTCCAAATCTACTAATGCATTAAATAATTAAAATAAAATAAAATGTCTTATAATTACCCACATTTGGATAGAAGGAGTTTCATACTATACTGTATTTATTTTTCGGAAATTATCATGTGTAAGAAGTAAATTAAGAAAATTATTATGAAATTTATGAAGTTTAAAATTCGTGACTCACGACACTTTTCATAAAAAATAAAATAAACGAAAATTTAAACTTTATTAACTTTATTATGATTGTGAATTCTACCATTGTTATTATTGTATAATGAACAAAAATTTCAAGCTTTATAATGAAAGTCCAGAAAAAATGTGTCATATTCTTTCCATAAAGTAGTATTTAAAAGTATTTAAAAGTAAAGTATACTTATAACAAATTTGAAACTAAATTGAAACTATTATCATCTGTTAACCATCTCATTCCATTAAATACCTTCCTTTCCTTCGATCCTTCAAAAAAAAAATGCAAAATAAAGATCATCATACCAAAGGAAATGAAGCCATTAAACAAAACAATTATCTTAAAGCTTGGAAAGAATATACACGTGCTTTAATAAAAGATTCACGAAATCCAATCTTGTGGTGTAACCGTTCTTTAGCATGTTTAAAAGGCGGTTGGCCCGAACTTGCTCTCGTGGATACAGTAAAAGCTGAAGAATTATGCATATCTGATATTAATAAATTGAATAGTGATGTTGAATTACAAAAATTATTATTCAAGTCACGTTATCGTTATGCTGAAGCTATGGCAGCATTAGGGATTCCGATCTTGGCTGGAAGAGCGTATCATTTATTGTTGAAAGAATTTCAATTTTATTCCATTGTTTCTAATTCTGATCGAAAATTATGCAATATTAAAGGTGACATTTATCTTCAATTGGCAAATGTTCAAAGGACTGTACTCAGAGAACAAGCTAATGAAGATAAAATTATAATCACTAACGAAGGAAGTGGTTGGTATAAATTTAAAGGAAATTATCCTTGGGATTGTCGGTTATATAATCGATTATCAAAAGAATCCCTGGAAAAAATGCAAAAAAATCTTAATTTTGCAAGTCAGAATAAATTAGAAATCAAGGAGGTTTCATTTTATGAAGAAGATAATAATCAAATTAACAATAATAAACTCAAAGAATTAGGGATTGTAACCAAACGGGATATCTCTGATGGGGAAATTCTCTTAGAAGAAGATCCATTTATTACAGTTCATGATTATAGTCAATTTAGATGCGATTTTTGTTTTCACAAACTCACCGAATCTTCCAATGATTCAAAATATCCTGTTAAATATCCTTGTCTTAATTCAGAATGCAAAGAATTCTTTTGCGACAGTAAATGTTACAATTCTGCAATGAATTTATATCATCAACAACTTTGCGGTAAAAATATTGACAATCTAATTAAGTATGTACAGAATGATTTGGATGGAATTAATTTACTTGTCTTATTTGCATTGAAATTATTTGCCATAGCAAAGAATAGAAATATTTGTCCTTTAGACATTGATGAGATCAAACATCTTAGTCGAAATTCAACTCATCCAAGAATTTACAATGATCACAATATTTTTGGTTCTGATATAGAATTCGCTTATACAGAAATCTTAAAAGTATTGAATATTTCCTTATTTGACTTAAGATATGATTTTTGGGTTTTTATCACGATTTTGGCACTCGTTGAACCTAATGCATTTGAAGGACCTCCAAAACATGATGATACAGAAATATCACCAGAAACTGCAGCATTGTTCTCTCTTTCCTCAATGTTCAATCATAATTGTGATCCAAATACTATTCATTTTGAAGCATTATCTGAAAGTTATATTTTTGATGATCAACACACAATGAAATTATGGAGGATGGTTTATAAAGAAAAAGGAACACATTCTTTTCGTATGTTTATTATTAGCAACAAGGCAATAAAGAAAGGTGAAGAAATATTTTTTTCCTACATTGACGAAAATCAATCCAAATTTCGACGTCAGGGTAATCTTTTGGTTACTTTTAAGTTTGAGTGTAATTGTAATAGATGTAAAGCGGAAAATGGAAGATATGTGCAAAAACCAGTTGCATGGAACTTGTATTATTTAGAAAATGAAACAAAATTGGTTGGGAATAATATTGATATTAGTGAAAATGAAATTTAAATTGATAATTTTTCGTTTTGTAATTGCATATTAAAATGACTTAATCTATAGATGCGTAAATTACATAAAAGATTGCATATAATAAAGTTTACATTTGTTTTATTTCTTTGGAAATTTGGATTCAAATTATGCACAAGTTCTGTACCTTAACGCAGAGCCAAAATGATTATTTATGACATTTGAGTTTTTTGTTTCAACTTTGAAACAAAATCCTACATTTTTATGGAGTTATTTTTCGTCATAAAAAATATTTGTAATCTTTATTTTATATGATCCAAATACTATTTTTATTGTATTCGGATAAATCCGAATCCATAAAATATTTGACCATAAAAAATATTTGAATTTTTGAATATTTTGAATATTTTTAAATTTTTAAATTTTTATGGATTTGAATTAAAAAAATTTTTTTTTCTACCTTTTTCTCCCCTCCCTCTTTCTCTTTCCCTCCCTCCGTCGGATTTATTTTTTGGATATTTATCCGATCCGAATCCGTTCGGATCTTATTTTTTGGATTTTATCCGATCCGTAACAATATGATCCGCGGATTCGAATATATATTTATAAAGAATCGAGAACTTCATCGATATTCAGTCACTTTTACACCTATTAATACATAAAAAAATGTTAATATATTTTATAATGACCATTAGTCAAAAAATTACATTAAAGTTGTATAAGATTATATGATCAATATAATTTATCAAATATACAATTCAATATATTTATCTTATTAGTTAGATAATAATTTTTGGCTTTATATTATAGGTCTTTCCTTTTCTTTCTCTTCCACGGTGAGTTAAATGAAGTTTGAATGTGCTTTTCGCAATATTGTATATTTTTATTATTTTCTTTTTCTTTATTATTAATTATACGTAAAAATTATCTAAAATAGTAATAGTAAATTATTTTTTAATTAAAATAAATAATCAAGGCAAGGCAAGGGTGAATATGAGATATTTATCGAAAAAAATGGCTTATATGGTGGTGTGGTTTTTAGGCAGGCAGGAACAAGTGAAAAAGATGTAATTATCTGAACTCAGGAACTTTAAATCTGCTTGGTATTGATATTTTCTTCATTAAATTATTTTCTAAAGCATTTGGAAATATATCTATCCCTTAAACGGTAAATCATGTGAATTGCGGCAAATTTATTAGTAACTTGTGACGTCACTACCGTTTAAGGGATTAGTGATTTTAATCATGAATATTCAAATACTCAATCATTCGCTTCACCTAAAAGTAACAAATAAATAGATAAATGCC